TGGTAAACGCCGCGGCAAGGCTTCTTCGGTAAAGAAGAAGCAGGTCGACCCCAACGCCTATCAGCGATGAGGGAAGATGAGATATTGGGCAAGGGAGTGCCCAAATCGCAAGAAGGCTAAGGCTCATCTGGCACAAGCTGATGATGATGATGAGGCCACTATCCCGATGGTGACGTTCTGTGCACTACACGACGTCGAGGCCAAGGAGAAGGAAGAGGTGACAATGGTGGAAGGCCCTGAAGGCTGTCAACATCGACGAACCATGCGCCCAAGTCCACCTCGGATGTGTGGGTGCTGACCAGGAGCAGCGGTGGTATCTGGACTCTGGTGCCAGCAACCACATGACGGGCTCCAAGGCAGCCTTCTCCGAGCCCAACGACGATGTTATTTGTACGGTGAAGTTTGGTGACGGCTCAAGGGTGGCTATCTGAGGGTGCACCACCATCATCTTCAGGTGCTAGAACGGGGAGCATCGCGCGCTAACGGATGTAAATTACATCCCGTAGCTACGTTCAAGCATCATCAGCATTGGTCAGCTAGATGAGCGCGGTAGCGAGGTACTGATCAAGGATGGAGTCCTTAGGATCAGGGACCGGGAGCAGCGACTTTTCGCCAAGGTGAAGAGGTCCCTGAACCGGTTGTACCTGCTCAACCTGAAGGTAGAGCAGCCGGTGTGCCTGGCGGCAAGGCACACCGAGGAACGGTGGTTGTGGCATGCCCGGTTCGGACATCTCAGCTTCGACGCGCTTGGTCGGCTGGAGAAGATGGTCCAAGGGCTACCCCACATCAAGCACGGAGGCGAGCTATGTGACAGCTGCCTGGCTAGGAAGCAGAGGAGGCTACCATTCCCAAAGGCGGCCAAGTATCGGGCGAAGGACGCTCTCGAGCTCGTCCACGGCGACCTCTGCGGGCCGATCACGCCAACTACAAACGGTGGTCGGTGGTACTTCCTCCTGCTCTTGGATGATTGTAGTCGCTACATGTAGCTGCAACTCCTGACGAGCAAGGACGAAGAGATAGCGGTGATCAAGAAGTTCAAGATGCGCGCGGAGGCCAAGAGCGGCAAGAAGCTCCACGTGCTGAGGACTGATCGCGGCGGCGAATTCACTTCGGTAGAGTTCACTGCGTACTGCGCAGATCAGGGTGTGGTGCGACACCACACCGCGTCGTACTCACCACAACAGAATGGCATGGTGGAGAGGCAGAACCAGATGATGGTCGGCATGGCTCAATCCATGATGAAGGCCAAAGGCATGCCGGCAAGGTTTTGGGGTGAGGCGGTAACCACGGTGGTGTTCATCCTCAATTGCGCTCCAACCAAGGCCCTAACGGGCAAGATGCCGTTCAAAGTTTGGTATGGGCGCAAACCGAGCGTGTCCTTCATCCGGACATTCGGCTGCAACGGCCACGTCCGGAAGACGAAGTCGATCCTCACCAAGCTATAGGACAGGAGCACACCGATGGTGTTCTAGGGCTACGTGGAGGGTACCAAGGTGTACCGGCTCTATGACCCATGCGGAGACAAGGTGCTTGTCTCACGCGACGTCGAGTTCGACAAGAAGGTGGCTTGGGACTGGAATAGCCCGAGCATGAGGGAAGCTGGTGGCTTCACCAGCACCTTCATCTTCGAGCACCTGGTCATCAATGGCGGTGGAGACGCTGGGGAAGAGGTGTCGAGCACTCTAGGAGGGGTGTCGAGCACTCTAGCAACAGAGCCGAGCACTCCTAGAGCAGTGTCGAGCACTTTAGGAGGGTGCCGAGCACTCAGGGAGGAGTGCCAAGCACTCCTAGAGGGATGCCGAGCATGCCGGGAGTGGTACCGGGAGGTTCTGTAGTGGTGGCGACCACTCCAGGACGGGTGCTGAGCACTCCCGTAGCGGAGCCGAGGGGTCTTGTAGTGGTGCCAACCACTGCAAGACATGTGTCGAGCACTCCAGGAGGGGTGCAAACCACTCTAATAGTGGTGATGAGCTATCCAAGAGTAGTGCTTAGCACTACAACCGGGGTGCCGAGCACTCCAGGTGCTGTGTCGAGCACTTAGGCGGAATAGGGAACTACATCAACACCGATCGAGTTCGCCTCACCTCAAAGTGACATCACTGAGTTCGTGGATGCCTTCCATGAATGTGAGAAGGTGCGGTTCCACAGGCTGGATGACATCGTCGGTGGCACAGGGCCCTCAGGCCTGGCTAGTCGGCTGCTCAATGACCAAGAGCTGCTGCTCATCAGTGCAGAGGAACCACCGACGTTCACGCTAGTAGAGCGCGATGGAAACTGGCGACGGGCGATGCTGGAGGAGATGAAGGCGATCGAGAAAGACGAGACTTGGGAGCTCATCGATCCACCTCCAGGATGTCGTCCGATCAGCCTAAAGTGGGTATACAAGGTCGAGCGGGACGAGCTCGGCGTCATTGTCAAGCACAAGGCGCGCCGAGTCACCCGAGGCTTTGTTCAGCGCAAGGGCATAGACTTCAAGAAAGTCTTTGCGCCAGTAGCGCGCATGGAGTCTGTTCGTTTACTACTAGCCTTGGCAGCAGCAAACGACTGACGCGTCCATCACTTGAACGTTAAATCGGTCTTCCTCAACGGCGAGCTGGCGGAGATGGTCTTCGTCATGCAACCTCTAGATTTCACCGTCAAGGGAGAGGAGCACAGGGTGCTCCAACTGTATAAGGCGCTCTATGGGCTATGGTAGGCCCCACGAGCATGGAACGCCTAGCTTGACGCCACGCTGGGCGAGCTTGGGTTCCAGCGGTGCGCAACCGAGCACGCGCTCTACACGCGGTGATGGGGAAGGAGAAGCTCGTCGGCGTCGTGTATGTGGACGACTTGATCGTCACCGGCGCGCGCACGGAGGACATCAACAGCTTCAAGCATGAGATGGCGGCTCGTTTTTGAATGAGCGATCTCGGTGCACTCTCCTACTACCTCGACATCGAGGTGAGACAGGGGAAGGAGGAACTCACGCTCGGTCAGAGCGCGTAAGCCTCAAAGCTGTTGGAGCAAAGTGGCATGGCTGAGTGCAAGCCATGCGTGACTTTGATGGAGGAGCGGCTGAAGCTGACGAAGGCCAGCACCATGGCGAAGGTGGATGCAACACTCTACTGGAGCATCGTCGATGGTCCACGCTACCTAGTCCACACGAGGCCGACATTACGTTCGCCGTGGGCTACGTCAGTCGCTTCATAGAGGATCCCAGAGAGGATCACTAGGCTATGGTGAAGTGGCTACTGCGCTACGTCAAAGGGACGGTGGATCAGGGGATCATCTTCCCTAAGAGCGATGGGAGTAGGCTGCAGCTCACTATGTTCAACGATGAGACATGGCGGGGGACATCGACGGACGCTGGAGCACTTCTGGAGTGCTCGTCTTCCTCGGGTCGGCTCCAATTTCATGGTTGTCGCTGAAACAGAAGGTGGTGGCACTATCTACGTGCGAGGCAGAGTACGTAGCGGCGGCCACAACGGCATGCCAAGTTGTGTGGTTACGCCGGCTGCTGGGCGAGCTGACCGGTATGGAAGTTCACCCACCAACACTGATGGTGGACAACCAACCCGTCATCGCCCTCGCGAAGAATCCTGTTCTCCACGACCGGAGCAAGCACATCGACGTGAAGTTCCACTTTCTCATGGACTGTGTCGATGAAGGGCATATCGTCATCGAGTTCGTCGAAACTGGTCGGCAACTCGCGGATGTCCTCACCAAGGGATAGCAGTAGAATTAGGGGAAGAATTGTTAGATAATCTACTGTCTTCGACTCACGGAGCTGAAGGAGATGATCGGCATGGAGGATGTACAAGGGATAACAGTAGGATTAGGGAAAGAATTGTTAGATAATCTACTGCTTCCTTATATGAACACACAGCAAGGAAAGGCGGCGTCGGAAAGGCTTCTTGCTGTGGTATTGTAGCCGCTGCAGAGGTAGGCGCCGAACGGCTCACCTGTCCCACTGTAGCCACGGCAGGGATAGGCGCAGAAGTTAGTCCTGCTGTGTTATCTAGTCACTGTTGCAGCATGTGAGTTGTACTAGGACTAGATGGATAGAGTTGTATATATAGTTTGCCACTGCAACTCAATAAAAGAGAGTTCAATTTTATCATCTCCTATACAGGGCTCCTGCCAACGCTGGTGCTTGTATTGTGTGTATGCTCTGGTCTCCCTCTTCTTCTACCTATAGCCATAGTGTGTGTGGTCGGACAGCCTCTGTCGTACTCGGCCGTGGTCGAAAAGACTGGTGAGTGGTCGACTCACCTGAACCGGTGATCTAGTGGACTAACAAGTTATAGGAGAGGAGACATGTGGTGGTGAAGTTTTTTTTTTGAAATTTTTTAGGACTCTTGGTAAAGCAAAAAAAAAACAGATTTAATCTAAAGGGGAAAACAGACATATACCTGTAACATGCAACTTGGTCTCTGATATGATGTCGGTTGTTACCATGTCCTTGTCCAGCCGGAAGCGGAGGGGCCACTCCACTTGTCTAGCAAGTGCTTCTTCTGAGAAGTAGGAGGAGCGCAATCATCGGGTCCATCGCCTTGGGAAGGGAAGCACTGCTGAAGCTCATCGGGCGCCAAGGAGGCAGCAGCAGATGAGGAAAGGACACTCATTCATCTCCTGCCCACACAGGTACTTATGCTCTTGCAGTTTACTCCCCATGCTACGTCCTGTTAAGTACGTACGAGTAATGCGGAAGAAAGGATATTTCTGGTTCATAAACCCATCACCACGAAAGCAGAAGTGGGTTATTTTTGTCGATCTGTCCAAAAAAACAGAGTTCTTCAATCTATCTCAACTTTGGGTACTTGCTGTACTTTTACAAATGATTCAGGATGAATTGTCGCCGTATACCAGCGACGGAACGGTTGATATCAACAATCAGCCTGCTCTCAAGCGGAGCACGGGAAACTGGAGGGCATGCTACTTGATCTTAGGTCGGTATAGGTTCGACCGCTGAGATAAGTTAATTGTTCAAACTGCACTACAGAAATCTCACGGAGTTCAAAATGTGCCTGCCAGGTACGGAATTCGTCGAGTGCTTGGCCTTCTTCGGAGTCGCAAAGAACATGGTGACCTATCTCACGGGTGAGCTCCACGAGAGCAATGTGGATGCCGCGACGAATGTCTCTACCTGGATCGGCAGCTGCTTCTTCACACCGATTATCGGAGCGTTCCTGGCCGACACATACCGGGGAAGATATCGTACTCTTGTAATCTTCCTCTGGATCTACACCGTTGTAAGTTGCAAATTACCATCTCTGTATGCATGTTATATTCTGAAATGAATTGATCTCTTGTGGTGTGTCAGGGGATGCTCACGCTGACGGTGTCAGCATCACTCCCTCTGATGATGGAGTCGTCACCGCACAACACTGGCATTGGCACTCGCCGTGCCGTGGTGTACCTGGGGCTCTACCTCGTGGCCCTCGGCGAAGGCGGCATCAAGCCCTGCACCTCTGACCTGGGCGCAGACCGGTTCGACGGCGCCGACCCCGTGGAGCGGGTCACCAAGAGCTCTTTCTTCAACTGGTACTACTTCGCCATCAACATCGGCTCCCTGTTGTCCGGGACCCTGCTCCTCTGAGTGCAGGACAACGTCGGCTGGGGACTCCAATCATACGAAGACTCGGAAGAAAAGTGTAGGCTCTGCACTGCAGCGCCATCCACGCGGGGGTGTCTCCAGCTGCGATGGCGCATCGGCTGTCTCATGGTGAGTCAGAAAGGCAAGCGGAAGGGAACTGGAGCAGAGATCACAGGTGGCGGCAGAGGAGCCGTGCTGCCTTGCCCGTGCGTGGTGGTCCGCGCGCGCCTCCGCCAGCTCCATCACTACTAGTTCCGGAGCAAGCGAGCAGCAGATCCAGAGAAGAGGTGAGAGAGAAGGAGGAGCGGCGGCGGCGGAGTGTCTGAGGAGGAGAGAAATAAAATTCCCGCCGGATAGGGTTTCAAGTTGGACTTTATGTGATCGGAGATGGATAGATGGGCTGTATGGACTCTGCTGGGCCAAAAAAAAATTTAAATCAGGCCAAAATTTATACACTGGTATGGGCTGTTACCGGGCCTGGGCGATAGAACCGATTTTCACCGAAATTCGGCGAATTTCGGCCGAAATTCTGAACTATGCTGGGGAGTCGGCTTCGCCATCCCGACCGTGTTCATGGTGGGTGGCCTCGGCGCCTTTGCCGCCGGCAGGAGGGTGTACAGGTATAAGGAGCTCAGAGGGAGCCCTCTGACAAGAGTCGCCCAGGTGGTGGTTGCAGCTGTAAGGAATTCCAATCTGAGGTTGCCCGATGACACCTCAGCACTGTATGAGTATGATGAGGTGCCGTCATCAGCTGAAGATAATTTCAAGATTAAGCATACAAGCCAATTTAGACTGTCTCCAACGGAGTTGGCAAAACACAAAATGCGTCCTCCACTGTGGTTTTAGGTGATTGAATCAGGCTCCAACCGAAGACGCAAATAGAGCCCCCATTTTGCGTCCCAGGCGATTCGAAACGCAAAAAAACGTCTCCTTTCTCCACGACGCAAAATCGCCGGGTGTGCTCCTCTCTTCCTCCTCTTCTTGGCTAGCGGCGGTAGGGGCAGAGGCCGCGCCGTGGGGCTGGAGGACGAGCTCGCCGTGGGGTTGGTGGACCAGCTCACCGCAGTGAGGCTGGGGCCGGAGCTTCGCCGCACGGTGGCGGCGGGTCCACATCTCGCCAGGCACAGTCGACGCCAGAGCTCGCGCTGTGAAGCTAGCTGGCACGGCGACGGCCGCCCCGGACCCCACTCCTCTTCTTCCTCAACGCCGGCAGCCACTCCCTTCTTCCTCAAGCACCTCCTCGGACGACGGCGAGGCGCGGCAGTCGGAGGGCACAGGCGGGTCCACGTTCTGGCGGGGTCGTGGGCCAGCGGCGGTGCTGCTGCGCCGGGGTGCCACACCGCACGACCGTCGGAGGGCGCAGGCGGGGTCGCGGTCCGGTGGTGGTGCCGCGGCGCCGCGCTGAGCGGACGGCGGAGGTCGCACAGGAGGCGGCAACCGCTGAAGCGCGTCCGTGCGGTCGCGCCGCAAAGCTAGGGTGGCGCCAGTCCTGCCGCCTGCTGTGCTCCCCTGCCGCGGGGCTGCACCAGGGCGAGGTGCTGGGGAGGGCGAGGTGCCGAGGAGGGTGGAGTCGGCGGAGCATGCGAGGTGTTTTTTTTTGCTGTCTCGAGGGCGAGGAGGGCGGAGCCGCTGCCTTCTGCCTTTTGCGTCCGTTGTTGGAATCGTCAAGTTTTGGGGGCACGGCCTTTTTTCGGTGCGCGACCTAAACCCAGGAATGCCTCTTGTATTTGGGTACGCACCGTTGGAGACAGTGTTAGGTAGGTACTCCGCCGGTTAAGAAATTGCATTGGAAATGATCTTACGTCTGACATCATTTAGTACTTCCTGTCCGTCCAGATTCTTTGACAAGGCTGCCATTGTATCAACATCGGCCGGGGAGAAAGGCGCAGCAGCAGTCCCGATCCCGACCAACACATGGAGGCTCTGCACGGTGTCGCAGGTGGAGGAGCTGAAGATGCTGCTCCAGATGTTCCTCGTGTGGGCGTCCATGGTGCTCTTCTTTGCCGCCAACGCGCTGATGTCGTCCGCGTTCATCGAGCAGGGCACAACCATGGACACCTGCGTGGGCAGCTTCACCGTGCCACTGGCGTCCCTGGCGCCCTTCGACGTCGTCGCCGTCATGGTCTGCATCCCGCTCTACGATGCCGTGCTGGTGCCGCTGGCTCGGCGCATCACGGGAAAGGACCGGGGCCTGTCGCAGCTGCAGCGCCTGGGCGTCGGCCTCACGCTGTCCGTCGTCGCATGGTGTACGCAGCGCTGGTCGAGGCGCGGAGGCTGTCGCTCGCACAGGTCGGCAGCGGCAGGCCGATGAACATCGTGTGGCAGGCGCCGTCGTTCGCGGTGCACTGCACTACGGAGGTGTTCGCGGCCATCGGCATCCTCGAGTTCTTCTACGACCAGTCGGCGGACCGCATGAAGAGCCTCGGCAACGCAATCGCGCAGCTCGCCGTGGCGGCCGGCAGCTACATCAACTCCGCCGTGCTCAGTGCCGTCGCGGCCACCACAGTGGCGGGAAGCCCGGGTGGATGTTCGACCCGGGATCTCCCGCACGGGTGAGCCGACCGCTCACCGGCGTTGCCGACCACCCACTATGGCAAGAGATAGAAGAAGAGAGGGAGAACAGAGCGCGCACACACACAGCACAAGCACCAGCGTTGGCCAGAGCTCTGCAGAGGAGATGGCAAAACTGAACTCGCTCCCTTTACTGAGTTGCATTGGAAAGCTTCATATACAACTCTACCCATCTAATCCTAGTACACAGACATGTCAGGCTGTCATACTGCTACAGTGACTAGATGTGACAGCAGGACTGACTTTGGTGCAAGCCCCTACTATGGCTACAGTGCGGCACGAGAGCCTTTCGGCGCCTGCCCATGCCGCGTCTACAGTGCAGCAGCAGGGAGCCCTTTCGACGCCTGCCCCTACGGCGCGTACAGAGATGGGAGAGCAGCAGATTACTTTATAATTCTTCCCCTAATCATGCTGCTAACCCTAGAACCTCTACCATGTCGATCATCTTCTTCAGCTCCGTGAACCGAAGACGACCGAACAACTTGGTGAGGACGTCCGCGAGTTGCCGACCAGTTTCGATGAACTCGTTGACGATCTACCCTTCATCGACACAGTCCCTGAGGAAGTGGAACTTGATGTCGATGTACTTGCTCCGGTTATGGAGAACCAGATTCTTCGCGAGGGCGATGACGGGCTGGTTGTCCACCATCAGTGCTGGTGGGTGACCTTCCACACCGGTCAGCTCGCCCAGCAGCTGGTGTAGCCACACAGCTTGGCACGCCGTTATGGCCGCCGCCACGTACTCTGCCTCGCACGTGGACAGCGCCACCACCTTCTGTTTTAGCGACAGCCATGAGATTTGAGTAGAGCCGAGGAAGACAAGCACGCCAGAGGTGCTCCGCTGTCCATCGATGTCTCTGGCCATGTCAGCATCGCTGACCACAGTGAGCTGCAGTCCACTTCCGCCGGTCTTGGAGAAAATAATCCTCTGATCCACCGTCCCCTTGACGTAGCGCAGCAGCCGCTTCACTGCGGTCCAGTGATCCTCTCGGGGATCCTCTATGAAGCAGCTGACGTAGTCCATGGCGAACGCAATGTCCAGCCTCGTGTGGACTAGGTAGCGCAGACCGTCGACGATGCTCCGGTAGAATGTTGCATCTAACCAAGCCACGGTACTGGCCTTCGTCAGCTCCAGCTGTTCCTTCATCGGAGTCACGCACAGCTTGCACTCAGCCATGTCGCTCCGTTCCAACAACTTTGAGGCGTACGCGCTCTGACCGAGTATGAGCACCTCCTTCCCCTGTCTCACCTCGATGCCGAGATAGTAGGAGAGCGCGCCAAGATGATGTGGCAGAACTGTCCGAAATAACACGCCTTCAGAGGCGCTCGTCTTCCATTAGACTCTAAGCACCCCGAAAGTAAGCTACACCAGGCGGTTCTATCGAAGACACCCTAAGGGAGAACTAGAAAAATCCAAGTTTTACACCCAGGATCCAATAATGAGAATGAGTTTACAATACTTAATCCATTTCATATAACAAGAGTTCTCGAAAATACATTATTACAATACCAAGTTAAGAGTGCGGAATTTAAACAGCAGAATTAAAATAAACATCTAACGATAAGATACAAGGATCGGTATGTGCCCGCCAGAAGAATCCTCCACACAACAGCCACTCCTCAAGCTGCACCTACAACGGGGATAAATAAACCCCTGAGTACATAATGTACTCGCAAGTCTTACCCGACTAGTGGGAATAATTTTCCGACTCCAAATGATATGATAAGCTTTATGGTTTGTTGGGTTTCCTTTTTGTGAAAAGCATTACTAGTAGTGAATTCTTATGTATTTGTTTTATTAGCAGTCATGATTAGTTCATTAGCTAACCATTCTATGTAAGCACATATTCTACTTTCAAGCAAGAGTTGAGCAATCATATCCATTCATCTCCTTTCATCTTCCAGTTCTTACTACGGGGCTAGACCATAGCCAAGTCGTATCGTATCACATGGTGATTCGTGAACCAATGTATCCTAGTTGGGTACCCCAAAACACGCGCCTGGTTTGTACCCCAGGCACAAACAAGACCAACCCATTCCACTCCTGTCATGGGGTCTAGGTCCCCATCCAAACTTGGACTCTAATCCCCCACACTTGAGACACAGTCTCAGTATGGTGCTTAGACCTTCACCTTTCCCTACCTCCAATAAGTCGGTCCGGAAAGAGTCGGAACTCACGACAAGAGCGCAATGAGCCTTCCCGCTCCCATAAGCAAGTATATGCTCAGGATAACAAGTTGGTGACCTGACTACCATCCACAGCAACGGACGGTCCTTAATTGACACGAACAGGAAAAACAGTGTAACCAAGCTAAGCCCCGTTGGTCATGGGACACAACTTGTTACACCCACCAATACCCATACCATATCCCCGCCCTGTCTCCATTTTTCCTTTCAACATTTTATCACGAGAGTAATTATAATCACCCATT